AAATGGATGTATGGGTGCAAAAGTTGATTTCATTATTATTTTTTAATTGTTTAATTGATTTGTAAAAGATGATTTGTAAATGTTGATTTGTTTAATTGATGTGTACATAATATTTGTGCTTGTTTAATTGATTGAAATGTAATAGTTAATTTGTTGATTTCAATCTGCATTATGTTGAATGCAAAACAGACTATCGCAACGCGGAAATGACTATCGCAACGCGGAAATGACTATCGCAACGAGAGAATCGCAATGCGAAATGAAAATCGCAACGAGTGAATCGCAATGCGAAAATGAAAATCGCAACGCGAAATTAGTCATTTCCGCATTGCGATTCTCTCGTTGCGATAGTCATTTCCGCGTTGCGATAGTCAATTCCGCATTGCGATAGTCATTTCCGTGTTGCGATAGTCATATTCGCGTTGCGATTTCCGCGTTGCGATAGTCAAATGAATGTCTAATAAGTGATAACAATTGAACTTATCATAGCAATGTTCAAACTCAAGTTACTAATACATGCCTAACTGAAAATGTTAAAAGTTCACACATAATATACACATAATACAACGTTTGCATTTAAAAATCACCTAAGTTAACAGTCCCATAAGGTGAAGCCGGTTGTGATTGGGATTTTGATGATGATCCATATTTTGGTAGAGGAAAAGATGATTGTGATGGCACTGGTTAGGGGTGTGCAAAATTACCCGACCCGGTTGACCCGACCCGCCAACCCGGATCTAAAAAAACCGGGTAATTCTCTAAAAAAAATTACCCGGCCGGGTCGGGTACCCGGCCCGACATTTTCCGGGTTGGGCCCGGGTCACAAAATCTAGTTTTTCCGGGTACCCGAGTACCTGGTTAGTTTTTATTTTTTTTATTTTTTATATATAATTATATAAAATATAATGAATTATTTATATTATGGATTATTATATTTTGTATTCTGAACTTTTAAATTTTATGTTCAGATATTAGAGTATGTAATTCGAAGTTTCAAACATTTAAATTTGTGTATATATTTTTTTAAATTAATAATTTGAAAATAAAAAATTAAAAACCGGGTATCGGGTACCCGATTACCAGGTACCTGCAAAATCCGGGTACCCGATTACCCTGTACCCGTAACATCTGGGTCGGGACACGGGCCGAGAAATCGTCGACCCGGAAGTTCCGGGTACCCGGAAATCGGGTACCCGGATTTGCACACCCCTAGCACTGATGATCCACATGTCAACCTTGTATGACCACTTTCCTTGCACCGACTACATGTCGATCTCTTCTCTTCACCCTTAGACGGTATACGATCGTGACTTTTTGGTCGGCCAGGTAGCCTTCTGTCCATGGCTGGTGGCAAAACTGTTTGTAAGTCATCTGGTATGTCCCACTCAGAAGAATGTGGAATAGGGTAGACAATCTCGCCATAAGTCTGTCGATATACTTCTGTAGTATAGCAATCCATAGCGTATGCGCTTGAATCATCTTGGTTTAGATGAAGAGAAACTTTTATAACATGGCCACACGAATAACCATATGTTTATCATTTCATACAACTACACGTCTTTGCATTTCGATCGACAAGCCCATTTAAGTTATTATCCAGTACTTTAAACAAAGTGTTTGAACATGGTTCAACTCTCCATGACGTTGACTTCACAACACGTTTTGTTATCTTTTTTTCTGTCTATGGTGTAACACGATGTTCCAATTCATATAAATTTAAATAAATAATACTTAGTAAAATATATGATAAGTTACGAATTTAAAGAAATAATACATGCATGGTTTCTTTTCTTGTAGTACCACTGTTGAATAGAGGCTCGAAAAAACTCCATTAACATAGTAATGGGTAATTTCCGGGAATGACGACTTAGAGCGTTGATTGATTCTGCACTATTAGACGTCATGAAACCATATCTTGCTCCAAGTTGATGTACTCTTGACCATCTTTCAAACCCGACATCTAGTGTTTGAGCACACTGAGGCAAAACACGTCTTAAACAGTTTATATGCTTATTAAAATACACTTTCCGATAAGCTTTTACAGCCTTCCAGTATGTCCATTTGTTATTTTTTATACCAGCAGACCTTGATTTTAGATTTCTATACAAATGAACACCACAAAGTCCATGAAAAGCATCTGGGAAACATCTTCTAACAGCGTTGTCAATTGAGTTTGCCCTATCGGATATGATTGTCAGATTGCTAATAGGACCTATGCAATCCCTAAGATGCCCCATAAACCATGTCCATGAATCAGAGGTTTCAGATTTGTCAACCCCGTAAGCTATTGGCAGTATCCCATTGTTAGCATCCATGGCTACTGCTAATAAGTTTACTCCAAGGTATCGACCTTTTAAATGTGCTCCGTCAACTATAATAACTGGGCGCATGCAATTAATAAGCGAACGAATCTACAAAATCATATACACAAGAAATATAATCATTTAAATGTGAAATGCATGTAACTAACAAATATGAGTCAATAAAATTATATTGATTTACTAACCGCAGCACCAATGACGATAAACAGCAACTCAAAGCGTCCATCTCTATCTGTTTTGATATGAGTTACCGACCCAGGATTTTTCAGCTTTAAATTGTGGCAATAAGCCGGCAGTTGGGCAAACGATGCTTCTGGCGCCCCCCTCAACAATTCCAAGGCATAACATTTGGCTCTCCAAGCTTGAGAATATGAGATACTAATCTTGAACCGAGCATTCATGTCAGTCATAATTTCATGTCCCCGATATACCCTATCATTCAAAAACATTAACTCAACCAGAAAACCACCCAACACCTTTTTGTTTGCCTGTCTATGGTGAGGAAAAACTTGGGTCCTTGAACATGTATGTTTATCAATAAAAGTCCTAACTTGAAACATTTCGCAATCTTTTAACCTCTTTGCAATCATACGCCACATACAGTTTTTGTCAATCATACACCTTGTTTCGAAACAATCTTGTTTGATTTGTTAACTTTTAGTTGATAGCCATCTTCCACACATTTCGTATACAAAGCTATCTTCAAGTCTTCCTTTGCATCAAAACAATCATCTTTCTTGATACGAATAATTTTTGTGTAACAATCAACTGTTATCTTTACCAACTCTTCTTCCAGTATCTGAAGTAATTCTGGCATATTTCAGTTATACTCCCGTGGCATTTTCTTCGGGGACTTTTCTTTGGGGATTTCTTCTTCTTTTTCTTCTTCAGTGTTATATGAATTACATAATGGATGTTCAACATGTTCATTTACAGTCGTAACTTCCTCCTCATTATTATCAACATCTTCCTCGGCAACGGCTGTTTCATCATCAAAATTCGGGTATTGACCAAGATCAAAGTCCGGGTATTGACCAAGATCAAATTTCGAATACTGACTAGTACTCACAATTTTTTCTGTTGGCTCATCATCGTCTAACTGGTCAATACGAAAACCGGAATTTGGTGCTGAAAGTTGATTGGGATTTGGATTAAGGAAAGGTTGTGGGTTTTGAGATTGTGTTTGGTATTGGAAATGTGGTGAAACAATATTTGCTTGGTGATGAAATTGTGGTGGAACCATTAAATTTTGAGCACCATAAACTGGAGTTGAAAAACTTAGTTAATTACTACCCGCTACTGACCCAACTTCACTACTTCTAGGTTCAACAACATACAATGTAACATCATCACTTGAAACACTAATGTAAACAATGAATCGTTCAACATCTTCATTGTCGATTAACAAATAAACTTTACCATTTCTCTGATAAGATAGCCTAAATCCACTTAGGGGCTCTAAATTCAATTTATTTGCAACACGTAACATTAGAGTTTCATAAGTTAACTTTTTTAATGACAGTTTTAGTTGAAGATTCATGGGTAAAGGCATATATTGTAAAACACCATGAACATTCTCCCATGACCCTCCAAAACACAAATCTATCCAAACATGATCAACATTAGATGATTTCATTATTGTAAATTAATTTACTAAACAAACGAGCTGCGAAACTAAAACCTGTTGCCGGATGAGGAAGGATGTCGTTGGATATAGAAACGGATGTCGCCGGAGAGAGTGATAAATGGAGATGGAATGAGTTGCGATTTAGGGATTTAGGTTATGAGTTGCTGCTGCTGCGTAGTTATATACTCAAAACATTTGTGTTGCGAAATTAAAACATGCTGCGAATTCAGAAATCGAGTTGCGAATTTGAAATTCAGTATTGCGATAGTCAGAATCTCGTTGCGATTTACAGATTCGCGTTGCGATTTACGTATTCGTGTTGCGAATTAAGAAAATCGCAACGCGAATTAGGAAAATCGCAACGCGAATTTGAGAAATCGCAATGCGATAGTCGGAATCGCGTTGCGAATCTGTAAACTGATTTGCGATACCGGAGATCGCGTTGCGAATTATCGATCGCATTGCGATTTTGTTGGTCATTTTGACAAATCCAAAAAAAATTGGTTAAAATCGTATAATATAAGGCATTTTTGGTTACTGAGGTTATTTTCTCATAAAAAAATTGATATTTAATTAAAAATTGTTCCTAAGAATATGCCTAGAATTTGAGCTCTTAGTCACATTCACATAAGAACCATCAATGAGGTGCCACCCGTATGCAATGCATGCCCATGCAGCAGAAGCTAGCACATACAGTTGAAGCAATGTCTAATTAGATCAATGGATGTCGCTCACATTTCAGATGCCTGAAAGTATTTCCCTAAATCTAGTTAAGGATTATGATGTAAAGCACAGAGGCATTATTCATCATGCTATTTATGATCTGAAACATTCTATGTAAATTTCATCTAAGTGACTTTTACAATGTTCTATCCCAATAAAAAAGCACATATGAAGCCTACATTGCACAGAACCAATGTAAATTAACAAATGTCATGTAAGCACGGTAAGAGCATGAGCTGAAAAAACACAAGTCGCAAATATTCAGAAGAGATTGTAAATACAATAATTAAACATGTCATAATCTGCTGAAAGGAAAAAAGGAAAACAACCTGAGTAAAAATGGCTTTCGCTTCTGATATTTTAAGCCTTGTTGATATTTCAGGTGGAGCAAAACTGTCGGCAATGGATACAACTACATAGCCTGATAGAACAATTGCAAGATAGATAATCACAGAGTAGACATTCATTGGCATATCAATTGCAATTGCAGATCCTCTGTCCAAACCCAGAGCATCAAGTGCATGTGCAACTAACCTACAAATTAGAACAAATAAGTACAGCTGGTTAATTTGATATCAAAAGTTGGTAGAAGTAATAAGAACAACACTTTTCATTACAAAGTCACAACTCTCCATCAATCACATTCAAAAATTCTAAAGTACATGTAAGACTATTCGCACACACCCTAGTAAGTAAAATCACCCGACAAAAATATAATATAAATTTTTAAAATGTCATCTATTTATGACATACTTCAACATATATGTTCAAAATCAGAAGCAGTAATGTGCACAATGAGCACACCAGTTTGGCTAAAAATCCTTCAAAACTACATGACAACTATAAGAACAAAATTGGCCACTACAGCATAAAACACAGAAATTACAATACCACTGATGCTTACTCTTATTGAGGCTTATTGGGAACTAATAGAAGAGATTACTACTCAATATCATTGCTGTTTGGACTTGCTAGCATCTCATGTTATGCTTTCCAAACTTCAACACTTTCCAAATTGGCCACTACAGAATAAAATACAGAAATTACAATACTACTGATGTTTAATCTTATTGAGGCTTATTGTGAACTAATAGAAGACATTACTACTCAATACCATTGCTGTTTGGACTTGCTAACATCTCATGTTATGCTTTCCAAACTTCAACACTGAATGTAAGGAACTAAGGATCCGGTAAAACAATTTAGTTAACTCTACGCTTCCGACTTCACTGTCATTTAGTCTGGATGAATCGTGCTTTTAAGATTTTGAGAGAAGATTCCAAATTCCAATACAAACTATCTTAACTGTAATTATGCAAACCAAAGGAAACATAATAATAAATAATAGAAGCAACTACAAACAAACACAGTATCTGTGAGATGAAGAGCAACATACCAAACCTCCGTCTGCAATTCCTTAAGCATCATGCTTTTCACAGGCCGATCATCATCTCCCTCATCAAGCCATCTTATTACTGTATCATTCAAATTTCTCTTGCTATTAACAACCAAGCAGTTCTTCGCAGGGTTCACAAAAGCTCCAGGAAGCCATTTACCTCCTGGATTTGATATGTGGCTGTCTTCAGATGGACTCTGTAAGATACAATCAGGAGGAACCGAAAAATCTACGCACATCTCATCCAGAACAGCTTTCCAATAAACCTGGCATATCAAGATATAGGAAACAATATTTATTTATTAATACCCCAAAATTAAAATCGTCAAATATCATTATGTTTTTAAAAAATGTGAACTTGGAATCATAACAGTCATACCTCAGGGTTTGAGACCGAAAATTCCTGAAGATGAGAGAAACTAGAAATAGGGTCGCTGTATTTGGAGCCAAAGAATTCTTTTCCATGCCTCGCCAATAGACTCCCAACATTTGTTAATGATGCACTCTCCCTATCCATACATTATTTGACAGAATAAAAACAAAATACCAGTATTAATCCATCAACCTTCCGCAATTGAAAATCTTCATATATTAGGGTCATACCTTTTGATTCAACCATGTGACAAGCTAAAATACTATTTGAATCAGAGCATCAACTAGTTAGAGTTATTCTAGGGTAGCCAACAGAGAAAAAAAGAAATCTATTAACTATACAGATAAATGTCCGATTCTTCTCTTCACTGCATTCTATCCAAGAAGTACAATTTTCGATTGCAAAATATACTTTTCTTTTTCTTCTCAAGGGATTTCAAATTTTTGCCATTAGAACGGAGTACAAGTTACTCATTCAGTTTAGTTCGCGGTAATAAAAGTAATTGAGTTTTTTTAATTCAATCAAATCTGTGCCTTTTCATTGTTTGCATGCATAAATTAAGCTAAATTGTTAGAAAAAAAATGGAATCTTAATTTTGATGATTGCGAGCGAACAAAATAACCGCTACATTTGAAAAAAAAATACCTTGTTCATGTCAATTCAATTTCACTTTATCTGTAAATAAGTTCAAAGGAAAAAAAAACTTGAAGATCAAAGTAAAATAATAAATTCTATAAAGATGGGAAAAAAAAGGAAATTCTTACGGGTCGGGAATCCAAGCAGGGGGGTCAGCTCCGAAATCTTTGTAACAACCATAATACATCAATTGATGAAGAGAGAAAGGGAGATTAGGGGTTAGGACATGTTTGGAAATTCGGTTCCAAGTCTCCGGCGAGTTAGATCCGTAACTACGAACGATCTCCGACACCTTCTGGTGAATTTCTTCGGCGAGTTCATTCGATATCCCGGACGTTTCCACATCTTTGACGGAGAGGGAATCCAAACATTTGTACAACATTTTCTGTTTTCTTTTCTTTTCTTTTTATTTTTATGAAGTTTAGTTTTGTTTGGACTGGAACATAGCAGAGATGAGAGAGAGATTTCAGTGAAGAAAGCTGATTAGATTTATGCTTTCAAAGTTTTTTTCTTACGTAATGTATACAATTGTCGCTTTTGTTGTTTTATTATTTTAATATTGGTCCAACTCTACAACTAATCCCTCAACTATAAATAAATGACGGATTTAATCCGATCATTTTAATTTAGGATAAATTACGTGTTTAGTTTCTAAATTATCAATTTTAATCTGTTTTAGTACCTAAATTTTTAAAAAAATCACACATAATATTACATTTTGGTTATGTATTGGTCTCTGATCTTTAAAAAAATAGCGTTGATATTGATATATCATCATAAAATAATGACATGATTGAAAAGTAATTAAAAAATCATGTTAACATTATTGTTGTTTTTTTTAACGGTAGGTGATCAAAACATATATATGATTTTTTAGATAATTTTTTTATTATGTTTACATTAATCCAGTGTATAATTTTTTTTTTTGAATTCTTCACTGAAAGTTGAGAAAAGAGCGAGCAAGTAGCAATCATCCAACTGATAAATAAAAGTTAAAACATGAAACAAGAGAAATTAAATTCTTAAAAATTAGCTTCTAATTCTAAATGTTTTTAAAATTACACAGAAAGAAAGAAAAGACCTGCTTTCATGGCGTTGGCTTTTAAGGTTTAACGCTACTTGCAGGAGCCATTGCAGCAAGCTTGGATGAGTTGTTTCCGATCCAAGAAATAGTAAAATAAATTAAAACTATTTCTTCTAACAAAAGTAAACATCTCTTCTATTTCAAAACAGAAACTTTGATATCTATTTTTGGTTCTTTCCGAGGTATATAAAAGCATTGGTGTTCAATTAACACGTGTAAATTTCTGTTTACCCAGAGATATGACCCAGCTCAAAACATGGTCAACCCTCCTACCTCATCGATCATCGAAGCAGATGAAGTACGCTGTTTGAGTCTTTGATTTCTTTCCCTTGTGGGATCGGTACACTCTTCCTCCTTTGCATGCCTTATGGAACGTTCTTTAGTGAAGATGAGTGTTTTGACTTAGAGATCGATAAATAGCACTATTTTTTTAAAATTTCATTTAAAATACAAATTTAAAATTTGCCATATTTACAAAATAGATAATTTAACATTTATTTCTTTTATTGAAATTTTAACAACTAAATATGTTGTTTATTATTTATGTTATAATATTATTTATTATTATACATTAAATTTATGTGTTGAGTCTTATATATTGTAAATTTAAAAAATAAATCTAATCGAATTGGGTGACAAAACAAAATAAAAATTTAAGTTTAGTGATGATTTTGAAAACAAAAATAGTTGATTGACCAAAATAGAACTGCACAAATAGTTGAGTGACTAAATATATAATTTACCCACATATTTTTAACGGAATTAACAAATTAGGGCAAGTAAGATAACGATTTAAACTTTATGGGACAAAAAGTCCCAAAAAAATACTTTAGCGAACAACTCGGTACAAATAGTATAGTATAGGGGAAATGGTACATTTAAGCCTAAATATTATGATTAGTTGGTAGTAATCAATCTTCACACCTTTAATCTATGCTTGAAATAAAAATAGCTGAAAATCGTTCCATCATGAAGGTAAGGATGTTCAATCGATCGGCTCGGTTAACTGGTCGAATCGAACTAGCCTATTAACCAAAATGTTTTTACCTTTAATTGTTAATTGAACGTTTTTCAAGAAAAAAATTAATCGAACGAACAAGGTTTGGTTAATTCGGTCAGTTAACCTAATTAATTGAAATTTTAAATAATATATATTATATATTAAATAGTTAATATTTTCAATTAATTTGATTATTTTGATTGGTTAATTACACTAATTCAGTCAGTTGATTCGTTTAAAATCGAAATTTAAACACTCTTGAAATTAAGTAATATATAAATAATATATTCAATATTTAAAAACAATCAGTTAATTAATCAAGTTCGAATCGAATTAACCGATTATCGAATTTTGAAAAAATCATTAAGTCTAAATTGACCGATTAATCGAAATATTTTTTTAATTAATTGGTTTTAACCTGCTAATGAACACCCGTACCTGTAGGTGTAATTCCATCTTAAATTGTATAATCATTATGCAAATCAATGTTTTATTGGATAATCAGTTAAAATAAAACTGAAATTTATTTTATTTGGATTATAGACCTTAACATCATACCGCCATCAAGCCTCAAGGTCCATAGAGTGATGCTTATTTATGTGTGAATAACATAACTATAATAAGTTTGTCAAAGCAATGGAGAATGAATACTGGATTTTTCTAAAGCAGTGGGGATCTGCTCGGTGATCGAAGTTGAATTTGGGGACTTTCGAAGGACTATCGCATGCTTGGCGCATAGGTGTAAGATAGGTAATACTTGAAACTGACAGTGCAGAGGCTTTTCAACTGTACTCGAGAAGTAGGACGGGTGGCATCACCGTCCGTCCATCATCATATAAGAGGGTTGGTTTTAGAAATTGAATGGTATCATTCTCGCAAATTCGACGAGAAGCGAAAAAAGTTGTTGATGCTTTGGTAAAGATGGTGCAAATGGATGATTTTGAAACAAAAGTTTCATCGGAGCCTCCAGGGGCAGCCCTGCCAAGCTTCCATGAGGATGGTTCAAGCCTAAGACTTTCACTTGTGGGGCTGTTTGTTTGGTTTTGAATGGAACTATTCAGCGCTGAATGCTGAACCGTTCAGCATTCACGCTGTTTGTTTCTCACCTTTTAATGATTCAGTGCTGACTGTTTCAACAAAACAATGTTGAATGATTCAGCACATAAGTACATTCTGAATGATTCAGAGTCATTATCAAATAGCATGTCACATTCAGAGCTAATTCATACAGAGCCTCTGAATCATTCAGTATTTGAATCATTCAGCGCTTAATCATTCTAAAGTAAACAAACAGTCCCTAAGTTAGTTTAAAGACTTTCTTCAACAACAAAAAAACCTATCTAACTTGATTGATTTAAAATTCAATTTGTTTATACAAATAAAAATCCAATTTGAAATATGAAAAAAGAGCCTTGAAATCAAATATAAAACTTAAATTTAAAATAAACTACGTAATCTATTTATTAGAGTATTTTATTTTCACTATTAAATTATAAAAAATATTTTATCTTTAAGGTTATCGATTATTCTCGTTTTTATCACATTCTATTAATTTTTACAAAAAATATTATGTAGTTTTATTTTTTTTTCGAATACATGAGAATGTGGCAATAAATCGAGCTAAATAAGCAGTACTAGCAAGGGCGGAGCCAAAATTTTAAATTACGATGTTATAATTTAAAATTAAAATATATAAGTAAAGCTATACAAATGTATGCATAATATTAATTATTGATATATTAATGCATAATATGACTAAAATAAAGGTGTAAATGAATAGAATATTTGATGAATTGTTCGAAGCGTTCATTTAACATTCGTTGTGCTTTTTTATTAAATAAAAATTATGTTCGTTTAATAAACGAACGAACACGAATAAATGTGTGCTTAGTTCATTTGTGTTCACAAACAAATTTATTTATTATTTCTTTATGTCGTAATCGTCCCTTAAGCTCAGAACGAGTCTCTACTTATTTGTGAAAAATTTGATTTTGTGAAGAAATGTTTTAGAGTTGCTATCGATCTCTTGGGTTAGGTAGATCGAATGCCTAAAAATTGTATTTTAAAAGAGTTTTTAAGAAAATATTATTTTAAAAGATAAACAAGTTTAAGTGTAACCAGAAATTTATTTTTTTAATAAAATAAAATAAAAAAGGTTTGGGTCGATTACGCGTGGGGAATGATAAGCACCCCACAACACTCAAAATTGGTACCCATCGATTATAAATTGTCTCTAATAGTAGAAATCTAAGAATTCAAATATAAATTTAAGTTACGATTCTATTATTCCAAATTCAACCATACAATTTTTATTTATCGGAAAATTCTAAGAAGAAATAGAAAATATTCCAATATTTTTAATCGAATAGAAAATAATCCCTAAAATACTTTAGGACAAATATTTTTCTTTTCAACTGAAATAAAAAGAATATAATAATTTATTCCCATAATTAGAGATTAAATAATTTGATTTGATCAAAGATAAAAAGGCTAATTAATCCAAATTACAAAATTAATTAGAAAAGATAAGGGATATTCAATTATTTAAAAAGGACCAAATCCCTAATAAAAATTAGACGAATTGTCTCGACAAGTTTAAATAAATGAATATTTCTTTTTCCATTTATTCTTGATTTAATTTAAGCATATTCAATTTTTTAGGTTGTCTAGTAGAGTAGTTATTTATTTTAAAATATCGGAATAGAACATCTAGTTACCTTTGCCGTAACCGTTTTTTCGCAGGACAATCGTTTAGTTGTTTTAAAAACAGTTATGACTTTTGATTTGAAAATCTGGTGATTTGGAATTAAATTTGGATAGAGTCACCATCAACCTTTGGGTTAGATAGGTCGAATACCTAAAAACGTCTTTTAAAAAACAATTTTATGAAAATCATTTTTTAAAGACAAAATTAGTCTGCGTTACCAGAAATTCGATTAAAGCGGGTTCAGGAGTCGGTTACGCGTGGGGAAGGATTAGCACCCCCACAGCGCCCAAAATTAGTACTGTTTCGCTTACACGTTCTCGTGAATGGTGTTAAATTCTAAATCAAATATCAAGTTACAATATGATCCGTTTATTGAATATTAATTTGCTTCAAATTAATTAATTAATTAGAGAAAATTCTTTAATTTAAAAAGAAATCTCAATATTAACAATCCTTTATCGAGAAAGCTATTTTATCTATTTCTTATTTGCAAAAGAAAATTTCACCTTCATTGATTTTTAAAAAAAAATAAAATTAAATATAAATTAACTATCATTTTTTACATAAAAATATATTGAATATTAAAATATTTATAATATTAATATTTTAAACTTTAAAAATGAAATAAAATAATAAGTAGAATGAATTAATTAATACAAATCTAAAAAAAATTAAATGTATAATCAAACTAATAATTTACATAATTTATAATATGAAAATA